GGTGGACGGCAACGGTGCCGACGACCTCTACATGCTGGACATGTTCCGCGAGGCCTTCGCCGACGAGGACCCCGCCACCTTCGTGTGGGACGGCAACTACCACCGGCCCTGGGAGCCCGCGGCCGCGCCAGCTCCCACACCTGGCGCCTACGGCGAGGTGGAGGCAGAGGATCCCGGGAGGCTGGCGGTGGAGGCGCTGGTGCGCACGCGCCGCTGCGTGTGTGTGGCGCAGCGCTGGGGTGGCAAGCGAGAGGTCATGTACACGGCCTTCAAGGCGCTGGGCGACTCGGTGGACTATGTGCAGGTGGGTGCCCGGGTGACCGGGGGGCACGAGGGGGGCTGCGCCCACCCGCCTGCCACCACGGGGCGGGGCCGGCCATCCACAGGGGACACCATCCTGGGCTCATTCAGGCCCTCAGGACCTGGCCATCCCCAGCTGCCTGGCCATCCGTCCCATGTAGTCAAAGCCGTGTCGGCGAGTCAGGAAACTGGCTCACCTCCTGTCACACATCCCAGCTACTCAGGAGGCTGAGATCTGAGCATCGCGGTTCGGTTGGAAGCCAGCCTGGGCAGGGAAGTCCCTAAGAGTCTTACCTCCAACGAAATACCAAAACCAAGCTGGAAGTGGAGCTTAGGTTCAAGTGGTCGGACAACAGCCTTGAGCACAAAAGTTCAGGGCCAGTGCCCAGGCCTGGAGTTCAAGTCCCAGGAATGGCACAAAAAGAAAAGAAAAGGCGGGAAACAAAGGAAGGAAGGAAGGAAAAGAAGGGAGGGAGGGAGGGGCCGGCTCTGGCCCTCCCGTCCCCCGGCCCTCCCCCCCCCCCCCCCCCGTGCCCATCGTCCCCGCAGTCGCTGGCCGGCGTGGCGTGGGGGCTGGGTCTGAGCGTGGCCCTCCCGCCGCAGGTGTGCGACTCCGACACCAGGCTGGACCCCATGGCCCTGCTGGAACTGGTTCAGGTGCTGGAGGAAGATCCGCGCGTGGGGGCCGTCGGGGGGGACGTGCGCATCCTCAACCCCCTGGACTCGTGGGTCAGCTTCCTGAGCAGCCTGCGTTACTGGGTGGCCTTCAACGTGGAGCGGGCGTGCCAGAGCTACTTCCGCTGCGTGTCATGCATTAGCGGGCCGCTGGGTGAGCGCGGGCTGCGAGTGGGCGCTGGGGGCCATAGACGGCTGGGGAAGAGCGTGGTGACCTGGCCGGGGGGCGGACGGGGCTGGGTCGGGGACGCCATGGGGGGGATGGCCGAAGCTGAGTCTGCCTCCCCCTCTCCCCCCGGCCCTCCGCCTAGGCCTGTACAGGAACAACCTCCTGCAGCAGTTCTTGGAGGCCTGGTATAACCAGAAGTTTCTGGGCACCCACTGCACCTTCGGGGACGACCGGCACCTCACCAACCGCATGCTCAGCATGGGCTATGCCACCAAGTAAGCTGGTGGGAGGGGGGGATGGTGGGTGAGGCCGACGGTACCTGTGTGCGCATGCGCTGGCATGTGCCCATGCTCCAGCGTGTGTGCCCATGAGCGCATGCACGCTGATGTCCAAGTTACTTTCCCCATGATGGGATTTACCAAGTTAGATCTAGGAAGGAGAGAGGAAGAAGATACTGTGGGAGTGGAGGGGGACATCTAGCCTGGAAGGAATGAAGTATTAGTAGAGGATGGACAATACCCTGAGAGGCAAGGATGACCTCTGCATGGAGTCAGGTGACCCACCAGCCAACCGTGGATAGCCATTCGAACCATGTGACCCCTCAGGCCAGTTTAAGTGGAGCAAAGGGGAGAGCCTAAACTCCAGAAAATGTTGTTATTTTGGTTGGTGGTGGGGCTTGAACTCCAGGCTTAGGCACTGTCTTTGAAGTGGTTCATTGGAGATATGACATGAGTCCCATGGACTTTCCTGCCCAGGCTGGCTTTGAATGGTAATCCTCAGATCTCAGCCTTATGAGTAGCTAGGATTATAGGAGTGAGCCACCAGCACCCAGCCAGTAAATGCTTCAAGAAAAGAGAAGTTGATTCTTAGCGGGGCTGGGATGTTATGAGCTAGGTCAAATGAAGTTAAGAGCAGAGGGAGTTCCCCAAGAAAGCCAGACCTAGTGGGAGATCCACAGGGACTTTGGGATATAGCAGCAGGGAAACAAATAGTACACGGTGAGAATCATTCACTCAACAAATACTCACACCTGGGAGATGGTGCCTGTAATCCCAGCTACTCAGGAGGTAGACATAGGAGGATCACCATTTGAAGTCAGCCCAGCCCGCTCCCCCACCCAAAAAAATCTGAGACTTCATCTGGAAAACAAACTCGAAGCTAAGGAACCAGGGCATGCCTCAAGTGGTAGAGCATTTGCTGAACAAGGGCTCTGAGTTCAATCCTCCACACCAATATCAAAAAAGGGAGGAGGGGCTTACAATCTGTACAATCTGTTGAGCTCTGGAGACACAGCAGTAGGCAAGAAGAGAAATCTGTGCCCACATACTGGGGAGACAGAGCCTTCAAGGGGGAAGCTCTAGCATCAGGAATGGTTCTGGGAGTTATTTGTGATGTCTGCCACAGGAAGGGACCCAGCCACTCCCTAGAGAGTTTCTCACATAGGGTCTGTCCTAGGTTGTAACTGGGCCTGGAGTTGCTCCTCCCTGTTGGGCCAGCCAATAGCAGTAAGTGCAATCATATTAGTAATATATTAGTAATGGTGTCAGGAATCATACGCCATTACTGACGTCAGTGGTTAATGGTATTTAGTCATGGTATGATGAACCAGTTCTCAGAACCTGGCTTTTTAATCCTCCTGCAGTCCTGACATCATGGGGTTAGGAACTAAGATGCTTTATCAACCTATTTTTATATGAGAAGATGGATGCCTAGAGAGGTTTAAAAACAAAACAAAACATAAAACTTGTTCCAGGGCTTGGGGGTGTGTGTGGCTCAAGTGGTAGGGTGCCTGCATAGCAAGCCGAAGGCCCTGAGTTCAAATCCCAGTACTGTTAAAAAAATTAAAAAGCCAGGCATGGTGACTCACACCTTTAATCCCAGCTATGTAGGAGACAGAGATCAGGAAGATGGGCAAGTAGAGGCCAAAATGGGGGGGGGGGTAGAAAGACCCCAGCTCAACAGCCAAGCAGGTACGGCCTTGTCCTGCAATCCCAGGGTCTACAGGGCTACTGGACAGCCCTGGTATGCAGCATGAGGCCCTCTCTGAAGGAGGGAAGCTGCGCTCTGGTGGCTCAAGCCTATCCTAGCTACTCAAGGAAGCTGAGGTCTGCGGATCAGGATTCACAGTGAGCCTAGGAAGGAAAGTCCCTGCCGCTCTAATTTCCACCAAAAACAAAACAAAAAAGCCAGAAGCAGAGCTGTGGCTAGCGTTGGTGGGGCAAAAGCTCAGAGACAGCGCCCTGGGCCCCAAGCTCAAGCTCCGGGCTAGTAATAATTAGGGTGTGTGTTGGGAGGAGGCTGAAGGCTGGCAGCTCTGTGCTCAGTGATCGGAGCTGGAACCGCGCCTGGGGGCGGGGGGAGCTGACAGCTGGCAGCTGGGCACCGGGCTGAGGACCCCCCCACCCTCATCATCCCCGCAGGTACACAGCCCGCGCGCGCTGCTACTCAGAGACGCCTGCATCCTTCCTACGCTGGCTCAGCCAGCAGACACGCTGGTCCAAGTCGTACTTCCGCGAGTGGCTGTACAACGCGCTGTGGTGGCACCGGCACCACGCGTGGATGACATACGAGGCGGTGGTGTCAGGCCTGTTCCCATTCTTCGTGGCGGCCACCGTGCTGCGGCTGTTCTACGCGGGGCGACCGTGGGCGCTGCTGTGGGTGCTGCTGTGCGTGCAGGGCGTGGCGCTGGCCAAGGCTGCCTTCGCCGCCGCGCTGCGCGGCTGCGCACGCATGTTGCTGCTCTCGCTCTACGCGCCGCTCTACATGGGTGGCCTGCTGCCCGCCAAGTTCCTAGCGCTCGTCACCATGAATCAGAGCGGCTGGGGCACATCGGGCCGCCGCAAGCTGGCGGCCAACTACGTGCCTGTGCTCCCGCTGGCGCTCTGGGCGCTGCTGCTGCTGGGCGGCCTGCTCCGCAGCATCATCTGGGAGGCCCGGGCCGACTGGAGCGGCCCAGCCCGCAGGGCCGAGGCCCTGCACCTGGCCGTCGGGGCCGCGGCCTATGCTGGCTACTGGGTGGTTATGCTGACCCTGTACTGGGTGTGTGTGCGCAGACTCTGTCGGCGGCGATCGGGCGGCTACCGAGTTCAGGTGTGAGCCCCCCCGCCCCTCCACGCCATAGGCCTTTCAAAGCCCAGGACCGTCTGTGAGGGAAACTCGCTGGGCCTCAGTTTACCTCCTCTGCGAAGGGAGGATACCAGGACTGCAGTGGGGCTGGGACTTGTGGATCTCTGGGGAGGGGTATTTATTCTTCAGGGTATAGGGATTTAGGACGGGGACCAGGGAGAAGCCCTCCCACCTTCCTCCCTGTTCTCATTTCATCTCTGTTTGTACTGTGATTTGGATGTCATAAAGAATTTTATTTATTTTCTTCAGAGTGCAGCCTCTCTTTTATCTTAGGAGAATGGAAGGGGCTGCATGCAGGTTGGGGGGCTCTGGACTTAGTCTACAATGAATGATCTACCTCTCTCCAAAGACCCTCCCTCCCTGGCTGAGTACTGGGGTTTGGGCTTGGGGCCTTGGATCTCTAAGCAGATCTCTACCACATGAGCCACATGGCCAGGCCTTTTCACTTTTAGCTTTTTTCTTTCAGATAGTTAATTTTTTTTTTTTTTTAAATCAGGGTCAGCCTCATCCTGAGATCCTCCTACCAATGCCTCCCCAGCCTTTCTGTTGAGACAGCCTCAGCAGCTTGTCTTGCCCAGGCTGGCTTTGAACTGTGACCTTCCTGGTGTCCACCTCCTGAGTAACAGAGTGTACAGGCTTGAGCCATCCCACCTGGCTTGTTGAGGTTCAAACTTGTACTAATGATACTGATTCCTGGCCAAAACAAAACAAAAACAGTAAGGATCCAGACTTGAAATATACTCTTTATTTTAAGGATGGAGACAGGAGGATGAGGGACCAGTACCTTGCTAGATGCCGCTGAAATACCACCGACAGAACATCCTGGGGAGACAACAAGGCCTGGGTGGGAGGAGGATGGGACAGGGCAGAGGTCCTGGGACTGGGAGAGTCTCAAGGGTGGACTGGGCCGGGACACCAGGGCCTGAGGGAGGAGGCAGGGCTCTGGATCTGGACCCCAGGACCCAAGAGAGGAGGCTGAGGACCGGGATCGGCACGCCCACTCACCACACCAGCACCGTCAGGCTGGCGACCATGACGGCCACCAGGGCGGCCAGCAAGCACAGGTCCTCCCATGTCAGGGCCCAAGGATTGGTCAGTAGCTCTCCCAGGCCGGGCTTCCAGGGCTCCACCACTTCCGGTTCCTTCCGCGACCAGCGCACCACTTCCCGGAAGGTGACTTGGAGCTCGGTCTCCGCGCGCGGGGGCGGGCCAGTGACTGCGGGGCGCGGACGTCAGCAGGCCAGCCCTCGCCTCGCCTCCCGCTGCCCGGCCCCGGCTCTACGCCGCCCGCACCGTTCAGGAAGAAGTAGAGCCGCGCCACGGGGCGCACGTCGTGTCGGATCACGCAGGAGTAGGTTCCCGCGTGGACGGGCTTCGCCGGGCGGATCCGCGCCACGGACCCTCGGGCCCGCGGCAGGTCGCGGAAGTAGGACATGTCCTGAGTCCGGACCTGCGGGACCGTGGGCTGAACCCTGGACTGCGAAGCCCGGGGCGCGGAGACCCAGGTCCTCCCAGCAGGGCTCCCGCCCCGCCCCCGACTCAGCTCCCGAGCCAAGCCCCGCCCCCACTCGCAAGGCAGACCGCGCCCCCTCCTCGGTCCCGCCCCTAGCCTCCCGGCCTGGTGCCGCCCCGCGGCCCTTCCCGTTACTCCTAAATTACTCCTGACCACAGTGCCCCAGCCTTGCTCTGTTCCAAGATTCCGGGCCCTCCGCTGGCAGAAAGCCTGTGTCTAGGCCGAGCGGAACTCCGGGGCCTAAAGCCTCTGTCTGGACCTCCCCTAGCCTTGACTCCGCCCCTGCACCCTGTTAGCTGGGCGAGGCCCTAACCCCTCCCAAGTGTTACTAAACTCTCTCCTGGCCCCGCCCAGCATTGACTCCGCCTCCAGGCACTGCAAGAGCCACCTGGCCCCGCCCCTAGGCCGGGAGGAACGTAGGCCCTACTCCCACATATCACTAAAGCTTTCCGGCCCCGCCCTCGACTCCGCCCCTCTGCCCTGGTTGGCTGGGGGCACGAAGTCCCTACCGCCCCACTAGAGCCCGCCCGGCCCCGCCCCTCCGCTCTGGTTGGCTGGGAGGCTCGTAGGCCTCCCCTTCCCTCCCCACTCCACTGAAGCCCGTCCGGCCTCGCCCCGACTCACACCACCTTTGGCGAACTTCCAGGAATAGGAGATGTCTTCCTTCGGCAACTGGAAGTCCACAACACAAGAAAACATAGCCTGGTCCCCGCGGTTGACGGTCACGTCCTTGACTGGAGATAACGGGGTCTCTCCCGCGGGGCTCACCCTAACCCGAAGCCCCCCGTGGGGGGGGCTCCCAAGCACCCCAGCCCGCCCCTCACCTGGGCAGTTCAGCGGGAGCTTGCAGATGAGGGAGTAGCACCCGTCGCAGATGAACCTCCGGGTGAGCTCCTGGACGCCTGCGGGTGCGCACGCAGCTCTGGCCTCGCTGCTGTCCCCACCCGGGGGTCCCCCGTCTGGGGCTCCCTCCGGGCCCCACCCCCACCCCCTTAAATCCCGCAGGCCGAGCCTGAGACTAAGCGCTTACCACAGGGAGGGACGCAGGCCGGGACTGTGGAGGAAGGAAGGGAGATCGCGGTGGGGACCCTACCTGACACGCCCCAGAAGATGGTCGAGGGGCTGACCTCTTCCCAACAGGGGGCTAGGCCAGACCTACAGCAGCCCACCCAGAGGGACAGGGCCAGGCTCAGGTCTGCAGCTGGCCATCTCTGAGTGTCGGGAAGAAGGGACCAGGTCCCCAGGGTCAGCCCTGTCACACTGCCCCCAGGGGGCGGCCTGGATGGGCCAGGGTGAGACTAGAAGACCCAGTTACAGAAAAGTTGGGGCAAGGTTAGTAGCCAACTGAGGGGGCCCAGGTGGAGAGGACATGGTTCTGCGGGTCCAGGGCTAATCACAGAATGTGTAGGCTGCAACAGGAGTCCCCCCCACCCCCTACCCGCCTCACATACACAAGGGCTTGGCTTAAAGGTCAAGCCATAGAGGTTGGACTGAGCAGAGTAGACTGGGGTCTCAGGTCTGGGGTTTGCCTCTAAGGCCCCGTGGGGAAGGGGGTTGGGCCACATCTTATTTTACCTTTTTTAAGCTGTAGAATGGCCTTCTTCATTTCTTCTGCAGCCTTGGAGAATGCTTTTGTATAGAACCCTGGAGGATGGAGCCAGGCCCTTGTAGAAACTGTGGTCATGTGTCTGTGCCCCCTCCCCTCCATGAGTCTCTCTATCCTTGGTTTGTGCTCCCACCCACCCTTCTACCAGGAAGGCTGACAAGTCTCAGGGCCTCCTCCTCCTCCTCCCTCCAGAGTCTGTTTCAGATGGAGAGAAGCACACTACATGTATCTTGTTGCAGGCTGGGTGGCTGAAGGCATGGCTCAGGAGGTAGTGTGCTGGCTTAGAAAGCAAGCACATGTTCCCAAGTTCAAACCACAGGATCACCACGAAGAGATAAGCAACCAAAACAAATGTCTATTTCTAGAAGACAGGTTAAAAAAAATTATTTTGAGCCTGGCACCAGTAGCTCTCGCCTGTCATCCTAACTACTCAGGAGGCTGAGAGCTGAAGATCATGGTTCAAAGCCAGCCGAGGCAGGGAAATCTGTGAGACTCTTTCTCCAATTAACCACACCAAAAAGCCAGAATTGGAGCTATAGTGCAAGTGGTAGAGCATCAGCCTTGAGTAGAAAAAACAAAAAACTAAGAGTCAGAGCCCAGGTCCTAGTACCAGAAAACACACACACACACACACACACACACACACACACACACACACACACACACACACACACACACACACACACACACACACACACACACACACACACACACACACACACACACACACACACACACACACCCCTTGTTGAAGGAAAAGGTAATGACCAAATTCCTCACCAAGGCCTACTATGCCCTTTACAGGCTAGCCCAATTCCCTCTTAGTCTTTGTTCCATCCCTCTGTCCACTTCTCTGTCCCTTAAGAAAGTTCCACATTTGCTGGGTGCCGGTGGCTCATGCCTGTAATCCCAGCTATTCAGGAGGCTGAGATCTGAGGATCTAAGCCAGCCAGGGAAGAAAAGTCCATTTAGACTCTTATCCCCAATTAACCACCAGAAAACCAGAAGTAGAGCTGTGGATCAAAGTGGTAGGGCACTAGCCTTGAGCAAAAGAGCTCAGGGACAGCACCCAGGCTTCATGATCAACAACAAAGAAAGTCAGGAAGGAAGGAAGTCAAGAAGGAAAAAAGGAAGGAAGGAAAGAAGGGAGGGAAGGAGGGAGAGAGGGAGGGAGAAAAGGAAGAAAGAGAATACCCCACAATCTCTAGCAGGCAGGGCCTTTGCACATGCTGGCTGTGGTTTCTAGCACATCTCCCCCCTCCCCATTTCACACCTCAAGTGTCATGTCCTCCAGGATTTTCTCCTCTCTACAATCTACAGTCTAATCAAGTGCCTTTTTATCTCTCATGCTTGGCTCTCATCAGCTTGTGATTATACATGCCGCCTGTGTGCTAATCACTTAAGTCCATCTCTTAAGTAAATATGGCTTCCTTTAAAGCTCAGTCCTTCAGAACCCCAGAGAGGGCCCCCACGTCTTAGAAAGGGCTCGATAAATATGTGTAGAATGAATTCCTGAGTGCAAATGGGAGTGGAGACCACAAGCAGTGGCCTACGGCCCAACTCTATTCCTTAGCTGTGTTGTACTTGGCTGGGAATAGTGTGGGTTTTTTTTTTTTTTTTTTTTTTTTTTTAATGAACTGGTCGCCAACATATAAAATTTGGGAAAACCATATAAAATGTTTGACATCTCTTAAAAATTTCTGGAAAAAGCAGTAACTCAGAGACCAAATTTCCTTTGGGCAGCTACGCTCCATCCTCTGCTCTGGCCAGCCACTTTATCTGTTTCACATCTTATTCCTTCTTTCAGGACCACTATCTTTGCCAGTCTGGGTTCTGCCCAAACACCCCAGGGCCTTTGCACATGCCGGCTTCTGTTTCTATAGCACATCTAGCTTGCAGATTGAGGGTGTTCTAGCATTTTCCAGGGGAATTCTGCAGAGAAAATGAATGGCTGGACTGACCTCGTGGTCGAGATGGCTTTAGAAATCAGACACCAGGCAAGGCGTTGAGAGATGAATCATACGCTTTCTCCTTTCTGCCACCCCTGCCAAATTCATGTGTTGGAATTCTGAACCCCCACTGTCCAAGATTATGACTGTATTTGCAGAGAGAGCTCTTGATGGGGTGATGAAGTGAAAATGAGGTCATTAGGGTGGGTCCTGGTGCAGTCTGACTGGTATTCTGGGAGAGGAAGTGACTAGGAGGCAAGGAGACACTGAGGGAAGACTGCTGGGACTCAGGGAGACCACGGCCACCAACAGTCCTGTCCGGAGGCCTCGGAAGAAACCGTTCCTCTGCCCACACTGGCACTTGGATCTCGAGCTCCTCATCGCCACGATTTCTACAAAGCAGTGTCTGGCAGCTGTCTATTGACTCCACTTCCTGGGGGAAGAGCTCCCTTCACTCACCTAGCTAAGGGATTTCACTGTGGGGCTTTTCTTGCTTTTCCTTGACCAAGTTGACAGCCTTTGAGAAGAGAGGAAATGCCACGTGAGCCTCAGGAAGGAGCTTTAACAAGGAGAGGGTACCTGATCCTTTTACCCTGAAGCCTGAACTTGGTTTCTTGTTGTTGTTGTTTGGGTTTAGGAAGTACTGGAGTTTGAATTCAGGACTTTGTACTCACTAAGTAGGTGTTTGACCACTTGAGCCACTCCAACAGCCCCTTTTAGTGTTATTTCAGAGGTAGGGTCTCACATTATATCCCAGCTAGTCTAGACTGCTGTAAAGGTGAAGTGGATTGCTGGGCGCTGCTGGCTCACACCTCTAATCCTAGGTACTCAGGATGCTGAGATCTGAGGATTGCCATTCAAAGCCAGCCCAGGCAGTAGTCTATGAGACTCTTATCTCCAATTAACCACCAGAAAACCGGAAGTGGCACTGTGGCTCAAGTGGTAGATCACTCACCTTGAGCTGAAGAGCTGAGGGATAGTGCCCAGAGCTAAGTTCAAGCCCCACAAGCAACAAAAAAATTTTAAAAAGAAAGAAAAGATGAAGTGGATTTATAGTTCTAGTAAACTGGAAGCATAAGGAAGTATTCCCAACCGGACGAGGGGTGTGGGAGAGACAAGAGGGAGTGTGGAAGGCTGTTGTAAAATCTCACTACGAGTGACGAGCTACTACAAACGCATGAAGGGTTTCCAGTTCAGAACATCTGAGTTTGAGTCCTGGTCCTTCCGTCTAGGAATTTCACACCCGAGTAACCCATTCCAAGCCCTCATCCTAAGGGACCTTGGCCACGTGACTTAAAACTTCCTGATCCTGGGTTCCCTCTCTCATAAAACAGGATGACAGAGTAGACCTCCCAGAGCAGGGGGACAGAGGATTAATGCGTGTATACTAAAGTACCTTCCGTCCTGCATGACTGAGAAAGCTGCAGCTGAATGGCACCATTTCTTGTTTTGTTTTGGTTGTGGGGCTTGAACTCAGGGCCTAGGCCCTCTCCCTGAGCTTTCCTGCTCAAAGCCTTCTACCACCTTGGCCCACAGCGCCACTTTTGGCTTTCTGTGGTTCATTGGAGATAAGAGTCTCAAGGACTTTCCTGCCCAGGCTGGCTTCAAACCATGACGATCCTCAGATCTCAGCCTCCTGAGTAGCTAGGATGACAGGCATAAACTCCTCGTCCTGGCTGGCAGTGTTATAAAAAGTCATGATGAGAGGCTGGGAAGGTGGCTTAGTGATAGAGCACTTGCCTAGGATGCATGAAGCCCTGGGTTCAATTCCTCAGTACCACAGTCACAGAAAAAGCCAGTAGTGCTGTGATTCAAGTGGTAGAGTGCTAGCCTTGAGCAAAAGCTCAGAAACAACACCCAGGCCCTGAGGACTGGCAAAAAGAAAAAAAAAGTCATAGTGAGTTAACTGTGAGCACCATCTGGGGAAACTGATGCTAGGAAAAGGGCCCGAGATTCCACAGCCACACCCAGCCGGGCATGAGACAGGGGACTTGGTTTCCTTCACACCCTAAGGACATCTATCACCCATATGCTTGTGACTAGAAGTGTTTCCAGTTTTGGGTAAACACTTGAGAGCTACTCGCATACAGGGAATGGGCTATCTTGAGGAAGCTGCTCAGATCTAAGCATAGCAGCCACTGTGTCTCACGTCTGTCCATCCACCTGGCCCGCAGGGCCCTTAGGTGACGGATAGAGGACTGTAACTTCCATCTGTACCTGACTGGTAGGTGGAGGTGGTCATGGGGAGTCACGTCTGCGCCCCGTTATCCCGCCACAGCTTTATACTGAGATGTCACCTGCAACCACCAGGAAGCAACAGCTAGGGGGGTGGTACCAGCTCCTTAGTCCTTCCCCACCGGAAGTTGTCCATCAGTCCCCATTCATCTGAGCACAGGAAGTCATCTATGTTCTCACAGGAAGTCATCCATCTGCCCACGGGAAGTCATCTATGTTCTTATAGGAAGTCATCCATCTACCTACTGGAAGTCATCTACCTTCTCACAGGAAGTCATCCATCTGCCCCCAGGAAGTCATCTATGTTCTCACAGGAAGTCATCCACGTTCTCACAGGAAGTCACCCATTTCCCCCTACCTGGAAATTGTCCCCTCTTGACCACCTGAAAGACACCCATCTCTCCTACTTTAAAGTTATCCATTTTTCCTACCTGAGAGTCCTCCATCTTCCCACAAGAAGTCATCTGCCTCTTTATCTAGAAACCTTCTCCCTCCTCCATCTGTATCCAATTGGTCTAGGCCTTCTCCAAACATTTCCTAAATCTGCCCTTTCCACCTAAGCCTCAACTTCCTTATGTGGGAAGTGGGGCTTTTATAAATCCCATCCCAGAGGCTGGTGTAATGGGGTGAGATAGTCTTTGGTTGGATAATTACCGCAAAGAACCTCCCAATAGATAGGGGCGGGGGTGGGGGGGGGAGTTCTGTTCACCTTTAATCCTCTCTCTCCATCCTTATGCACGGTTAGGATGACTTGGCTCGGTCCTCCGCTAGGCCCACCTGGACCACTGTCTCCTTTCTGTCAGGGAATTTCTCTTTGGTTTTCCCACAATGTCCTGTGCCCACAGGCTGACAGGGGGATCACATTCAGAGCTAAGCACCATCCTGGTTCAGTGTAAACATCCTCCCCAAAATGCTCCCATCCCAAAAGATGAGGTCCTTCAAAGGGCTTTCTGAGACCAATACCTCAGTGGCATAGGGGTATCTATAGAAATGTCCTCTTGGGGGCCCAGCTGCAGATCTACTCCTGAGAAATAGAGGGAAGACCCAGCCATCTTCATTGTAACAAACTCTCAAGAGATTGCAACAAACTCTCAAGGAAGACCTTCACTGTAACACTCTCAAGAGACCATAAGGAACTCTCAAGAGATTCTGTTATACACTGACTGATACCAGGTGGTCCCTGGCCATCTCCCTGAATCTACTGCTCTGATTTCATCTCCACTACGGTCTCACTGGCCTCAGGGCCTTTGCACTCACTCTTGTTCCACACAAGAACTCTTCTCAGATTATCTGGTTCTCCCCCATCACCCCATTCAAGTCTTTGCTCAACCGAAAATTTTCATTTACACCTCCGACCAACCCAATCTTCAACTCCATTCCCTTCTCTGTTTTGCTCCACAGCAGCGCTCAACTGACAAAGTAATGACTGTGTTTATTGCCCATGCCTCCTGCTTCATGATGTAAGCAACATGCAGGTAGGTGGCTTAAGCCCCTGCTGTGTTCACCAGCTTCTCCCAGCTGCCCAGCTGCTCCTCACCAGGCCACAAAGCATCCCTCCCCACCCCCATCCAGGACCTTTCTAAAACCCAGAGCAGACCTGCCCTCCGCTTTCCTATACTTGTTCCAGACCTTTTCAAAACCCCTGGTGAAGGGCAGGGGCAGGGAAATTGTTACGTCTTGCAGATGGGGAAGTGGAGGCCAGGAGACATGTAGGCACCAATCTGTACCAATCTGTAGCATAGGTTCCGTGGGCCTGTCCTCACCATACTTTGGACTCTGGGTTATTTCTATGCCTCCCTCAGCTCCTTCCCACCATCTGTGACCCCACCTATGACTCCCACCTACTTCCCACTGATGACCCCATCTCCAACCCCACCTGTGACCCCATGTGCCTCTAGGCATTTCCCAGTGAATACCCTTGGGTGGTTCCCTTCCCAGGTGCTGTCCAAAGCAAGGGTCCTCTATTCATCTGGCCCCAAGTCCTGGCAGGCTCCAAACTCAACAGTCCCCCTGCCCCCCAAGCACTCACCCTTGGCCACAGCTGTCTCCTGCAGGGAGTGCACCATCTGCGTGAAGGAGTCGTGCAGGTTGTTTCGCTCATCGTAATCTGAGGACCAGTGAAGGGCAGGGCTGGGCAGGCAGTGGAGCATGGAGCACAAACCAGGTCCCAGGGCTGACATCCTGTGGCTCTGACTGCGGCCCCACAAGTCTCCAGCACCCTCTCTCTGAGTCTCCTAAGTCCTCTTCTTTAGATGTCTTCCCTTTCTACCTCCAGCTCTTTCCATGTTTGTTAACTCGGCCTCTGTTCTCTGTGCTTCTGCATCTCTGCCTGTCTGCATGTCTGTGTCTGTCTGTCTGTCTATATCTCTGAGTTTCTCCGGGCCTGCCCAGCCCCTCCCTAGGGCCCTGGACTCTCACTGATTTCCGTTTTGAGCAGATCCTTGAAGGCCAGCTGGAACTTTTCGTCGCATACTTTGGTCTTCCAGGCCTTCATCCCGACAAACATCTGGCAGATGCGGATGCGCTCCTTGTCCGTGACGAAGCACATGAGGCAGGCCCGCGTGCACGCCGGGCAGACCAGCAGGCCCAGGAGGAGACACGCCCCAGCGCGCACCAGCCCCAGTGCCATGCTGGAGCTCTCTAGCTCTGCTGGAGGAGCTGGTGACCTTTGTGAGGTCACAGCAGGGGAGGGCTGGGCGGCCTGAGGTCAGAGGTCACATGTCAGTGAGGGGTCACGTGTCAGGCTGTGTGTGGAGGAATGTCGTCAGGGGTCATTAGTCGGCCTAGGTGTGTGGCTGGGCCAGGCGCCAGGCTCCCAAGATCCCCACCTGTGACCCTGCATGTCCTCACAGGTTAAAGGGTCTCAGGGACCCAGAGGCCGGCAGCGCAGAGGATGGTGGATGGGACCAGCTGTTGGCCAAGGGGCAGGGGCCGGGGCAGGGGGACAAGGGACAAGAGACACAGGTGTCAGGAGACAGAGACAGAAATGGGACACAGAGGCCGGAGGTCCAGAAAACCACTGAGGACAAAAACAGAAGAAAGAGAGGCAGGGCTATGGACAGTGGAGGAAGCCCAGCTCTACCCAGGGTCAGGGCAGCAACAGCAGCGATGGCAGCGTGGGTCAGGGGGAGAAGGCCCCGCAGCAGGCAGGGCGTCCCGTGTGGCAGGGCGCAGCCTGGGGAAAGCTAGGAGGCCGTATAGTGATCTCCTTGGGTGTCTTCCTCAACTATACAACCTCCTACCTCAGCCCGGGGGGCGCGGCAGGCGGACAGATGGACGGACGGGAGGCCGGGAGGGCCAGGGAGGGTGGGGAGGGCCGGGGAGCCCCCAGCCGTGGAGGCGAGCCCCCGACACGGACCCACAGACACGAGCTTGTGTGCGGCGAAGGCCCCGCAAGGTCGGTTCTACGGGTGGGTGCCAGGACCCAAGAGCCTGGGCCCCCGGCCCCCTCCTCCCCAAGGAACCCCGGAGCACAGACCCTGGGGTCCCAGACTCACTTCTCCCTCAGACCCAGGGGTCCAGGCCCAGCCTCCTCCCTCAGACCTAGGGTTCCAAGCCTCATCCCTCCTCCCTCAGACTCTGAAGACCCAGACTCATTCCTCCTTCAGACCCAGGGGTCCAGGCCCAGGCCTCCTTCAGACCCAAGGGTCCAGGCCTAGGCCTCCTCCTTCAAATCCAGGGGTCCAGACCCCAGCCTCTTCCCTCAGACTCAGGGGCCCAGGCCCCAATCCTCCTCCCTCAGACCCAGAGGTCCAGGCCCAGCCTCCTCACTCAGACCCAGCCCAGACCCCAGCCACCTCCCTCTGACTCAAGGATCCAGGCCTCATCCCTCCTCCCTCAGACCCTGAAGTCACAGACTCACTCCTTCAGACCCAAGGGTCCAGGCCCCCAGCCTCCTCCCTCAGACTATGAGACCCAGACTCACTCCTCCTTCAGACCTAAGGGTCCAGGCCCTAGCCTCTTCCCTCAGACTCAGGAGCCCAGACCCCAGCATCTTCCCTCAGACCCAGGGTTCCAGGCCCCAGCCTCTTCCCTCAGACTCAGGAGTCCAGACCCCAGGCTCTTCCCTCAGACTCAGGGGTCCAGGCACCAGTCCTCCTCCCTCAGACCCAGGAGTCCAGGCCCAGCTTCCTCACTCAGACCTAGCCCAGACCCCAGTCTCCTCCTTCAGACTCAGGGATCCAGGCCTCACCCCTCCTCCTTCAGACCCTGAAGTCACAGACTCACTCCTCCTTTAGACCCAGGGGTCCAGGCCCAGCCTCCTCCCTCAGATCCAGAGGTCCAGCCATCTGATTGTCTCCCACAGCCAGGCTGCAGGGGGGCAGCAGTGTAGGAATGTGGCCTGCTGGGTATGGCTGTTCTCCCTCCCCTTTCTGGTCCAGGTTGAAGGGGGGGGTGCAGTTTGAACCCCGTCCCTTCTTTCTCCTCTTGGCATTCAAGAGGATGACAGTGATGCACCCAGCGCACTGGGGGTGCACACCACAGAGCCCCAGGCTCTCCGGCTGCCTCCCCGGCCCGGAAAAGGCTGAGAGAAAGACCGGGCAGCGTGGGGTGGGCCTGTGGGCAGCCGTTCTCATGCCATGCTTAGAGCTCAGAGCTGGTCCACCTGGGTGGGTGTCCCCCACTCCCCACTCCCTCTAGTTCTGGGGCTCCCTGGCTCCAGTTCTGGGGCCCTTGTCTTTCTCTCCACCCGCTGCTGCTTTACCCCACCTTTTCATCCTCCTCCCTCTTCCCCAGCCTGCTCTTACCTGGCTCTGGACTCCTGCACGAAAAGCTCGCTCTGTCCCTGGGCAGTCGGCTGTCCCTGCACCCCCATCGGCTCGCCCTAGCCCTCCCCCCACCTCCCTCCCTCCCTCCCTCTCTCCCACCTTCTGTCTTTCATCCTCGCGTCCCTCCCTCTCCTGGCTTTGTCTCTCATTCTCCTGGGCCCTCTCCTCTCTCATTCTTTCCTTCAATCTCTCTCTCCTCCCCACCTCCCTCTCTCCCTCCCTCTCTCCCCCTCCTCCTCCCATTTCCCAGGTCTCTGTGTCTCTCCCTTTCTCCTTCCCTCCCTCCCAGGTCTCTCTCTCTCTCTCTCTCTCTCTCTCTCTCTCCTCCCTCCCCTCCCCCATCTTCCCTCCCCCCCATCTCCCTCCCTCCTCTCCCTCCCTCCTTCTTGCAGCTCAGAGCCAGGTCTGGAGCTGGGGGTGGGGTAGGGGTGGTTGGAGAAGGGGCCCCGGGCTGGGGTAGCGACCTGCTGGGGGGGGGTAGAGGAGAGGCGGGAAGGGGGCGGGGGAGGGGGCGGAGGCCCGAGCCGGGGTCCTCTATCCCCCTTCCCTGCCTCCGGGGCGGGGGCGAGCCAGGCCCAGGTGGGGAGGAAGGGAGGGGAGGAGGCACCGAGGACCCCCCCCCCCCGACCTGGCCCCGAGCCCGGGCCTGGGCTCCCGGCATGCCCCGGGGCCGCCTGGGGCCTGGGGAGGGGGTGCGGCGCGCGGACCAGAATCCCCGAGATGGCGGGGACCCCGCTTCTCCACGCCCCGAGTCGTCTCTTCCTGGGGAAACTGAGGCGGGAGGGGGGGGGGGTGACTGGTTCAAGGTCACCGCGCCGGGCCGGGCCGAGCCGCCGGCTGCGGGGCCGCGGGGCCGGCGCGGGGCTGCGGGCCGGGCCCCGCCCTCCGGCCGACCCCAGGGAGCCCCCGGGGTCAGAGAGCAGACCCAAACAGTCTGGCACCATGGCAACGCCGGCCCCGCCCCGCGCCCCGCCGCCCGGGCTCCCGCCGCGGCGGGCGGCGCGCACGGCGGGTTCGGGCCCCGCCCGGCCCGGCCCGCGGAGCCCGGCGGGTTCGGCTCCCCGCCCCCCCGGGGCGCCGGCCCGGGTTCCCCCGGGGGCCGCCGCCGCCGCTGTCCACGGCGCGGGCCCGAGCCCCGCCACAGGCCCGGACGCCGCCCGGCCCGGCTCCGGCCACCCTTGACCCCGCGGCCCGGGCCTCCCGGCCGTGTTAACCCCCGCGCCCCCGGCGCGCCCCGCCGTCCCCCGCCCGGAGCCCCGGCGACACCCGCCTCGCGGGCCGCGAGCCCCGAACCCGGGCCCCGGCAGCACCGGTCCCTCCCCCCCGACGTCCTCCCCCTCCCCCCCCCGCGCGGTCCCCGCAGACTCACTGCTCCGCCGCTCCCGCGTCGGGGACCGGGGTCCCGGCGCCCCCGGCCGGCGCCGCGCTCCGCTCCCACCCCGCCCGCCTGCCGCGGCTTCTCCCCGCCCCTGCCCCCCGCCGGCTCCCGGCCCCGGACCCCGCGGCCGTCCGGCCCCCTCCCCCGGCGCCCCCGCCCCGCCCCGGCGCTGGCCGCGGTCCAGGGGAAAAAATTCCACCCGGCCCGGGAGGCGGAGGCGGAGGCGGAGGCGGAGCGGGCGAGGCCGGCGGCGGCGGCGGCGGAGGACAAAAGAGCGGCCGGCCGGGCCCCACCGCCGCCGCCGCCGCCGCCGCCCGCCGGGCCCGGGCCGCCCCCCCCCCCCCCGCCCGGGCACCCCGCGGCCCCGGGCCCCGGGCCGGGCTGAATACCTGCCCGCCCCCCTTCTCCCCCTCCCGCCCCCCCTCCTCCACCCCCACCCCCTCCTCCCCCCTCCCGCCCTCTTTTCTTTTCTGCCTCCATCCTGGCTCTTCTGGCTTTCGTGTGATTCATTCTCTCTCTCTCTCTCTCTCTCTCTCTCTCTCTCTCCCTCTCTCTCTCTCTCTCTCTCTCCCTCTCCCTCTCCCTCCCTCCCTCTCTCCCTCCCTCTCTCTCCCTCCCCTCCTCCTCTCTCCTTCCCTCCCTCCTCTCCCCTCTTCCCCCCCCCCCGCACCCTTCCGCGGCGGGGTCCGCACTCCTCCCCCTCCCGGCCCCCTCCTCCTCCCTCGGAGACGCGGAGGTGAACGAGACCTAGGCCCGCCGGGCGGCCGCGCGCCTCGGGGTCGGGCGGTGGGTGCGGCGGGGGACCCGACCCTCCGGAGGGCGGGGCCGCAGCGCCGAGCCCCGCCCCTCAGACCTGGGGGTGGGGGACCTGGGGGCCCCCCGGCCTGGCCCGGGGCGGGCGGGGCTCCCGCGGGGGGGCGGGGGGCGGGGCCGCCGAGCGGCGGGGAACCCGGGGCAGGGGGCTTGGAGGGACGGGGTCCCCCAGCACACCCCAAGTCAGGCCTGTGGGATGCGGGGGACGGAGGTTTAGGGGCGAGGACAGGACAGAAGGGGTGAGGCCCAGAATGGGAGGGGGAGGGAGCTGGAGTCCAGCCAGGGACTGAGTCCCCTGCCCCCCACCCCCCGTTGTTGCCGGTGAAGAGGATGGTGGAGAAAGAAGATGCTGATGGCAGCGCGGACCCCGCGGCTGGGGAGCTGGGGACGCGGCGGGCGCGCGGCTGAGAGGAGCGGCGGCGTCCGGGTCCGGGGTCCCCTCCGCCCAAGGTCCCCTCCGGCCCCGGGGTCCCTCCGTCCAGGGTCCCCGCCGCCCGTGGTCGTGGCATTGACGCCCCCTGTGCCCTTCCGGAGGGAGGCACAGCCATGACCGCCCTGCCTGCGTGTCCCCCGTGCAATCGCTGCATTCTACACCCCAACCACCCGTCCCCCCCAAACCCATGGGCGGCCTCATTCATTTTAATGGCTTCATAGTATTCCATCTATGTATCCGTAATTCATGCAGCCCGTGGAGAGCTGGGGAGGTCGAGTTTTCTTGAGTTTCTTGATTTTCTATTCAAACCACAGCTGGGTTGTTTTTTTAAAAATATGATTTCATCCAATGTTCCCTAAACCCAGATCGATTGGTAGATAGATCCTCTTAGAATTTGTTGAAAAGGCTTACCCTAAACATCTCGGGTCTACGGTTTTATTTCCCCCTGTTTCAATCTGTTGCCCATCATCCACTGCAAATGGAACAACTCCAGCATCTTGGGTTAAAATTGCACATGGTTTCAGTCGGGTCAGCAAGTCACCACCCAACCTGGGACCTAAAGTACCCCTTTCTAGCTGGATCTGCGCCCAGCAGGCCACTGTCTGGTGGTAGTCCCCCATAGTCCTCTGAAGGGCTGGGGCCCATGGACATAGCCTCCAGTGGAAAATCCAGGCCTCCTTACACTTTACAAAGTCGGCTCTGGGCTTCTGGAGCAGGATAACTAGTCAGGAAGACTCCTGCCCTGACCTAGGTCTGAGTCCAGGGCTTGTGTTTGTATCACAGGCTGGAAGAGACCCCTCAGGACCATGGAAAGAATGATCAGGGCTCCACAAATGCCTGACTAGTAGGACAATCAACAAACTGAAAGAACATATTCATCTGGATGGCCGGAAAGACTCCTATGAGTTAGAGATATCTTTTGCGTGCTGGGGTCCAGGTGGGAGTATAGCAAGTCTGATTTCCATTGTCAACTCTATTTAAAAGGGTCATTCACATTGGTTTTCCCTATTTTGGTGGTGGTGGGGGGCCGTGGCAGGCCGGATTGATCATGGGGTTTGAACACCAGGCCTAGGTTCTGTCTTTTGAGCTCTTTTGCTCAAGGTCAGCGCTCTAACACTTTGTTGTGTTTTTTGTTTGTTTTTTTTTTGGGGGGGGTCCGGTTGTGGGGCCTGAACTCTGGGCCTGGGCGCTGTCCCTCAGCTCTTCACCTCAAGGCTAGTGCTCTACCACTTGAGCCACAGCCCTACTTCCGGCTTTTTTCTTTTTGCTTATGTGGTGCTGAGGAATCGAACCCAGGGCCTCAGGCATGCAAGGCAAGCACTCTACCACTGAGCCACCTTCCCAGCCCCGCTCTAACACTTTGAGCCACAGCACCACTTCGGGATTTCTGGTAGTTCATTGGAGATAAGAGTCTCACAGACTTTCCTGCCTGGGCTGGCTTCGAACTGCAATCCTCAGATCTCAGCCTGCTGAGTAGCTGTGATTATAAACATGAGCCACCAGTGCCCAGCTGTTCTTGTTTTTGTTTTTTTTGCTATACATATTCTCACTGTGGATTCTGGGCTGGCTTCAACACACAATCCTCAGTGTCTCAGCCTCCTGAGTGCTGGAATTGCCAGCATGCCTCCCCTGCCTAGCTCCCCACAAGTTTCATTCTTTGCCGTCGTAGGGCACACTGTCTTCATAAATGAGCAAAGGTCTCTCTGGTCTTCACACACACACACACACACACACACACACACACACACACACGCACTCACGCACGCACGCACGCACGTAGGCACGCACCCAAAGGAAGTTTTCTAAGCTCACCCTATCATCCATTTTTCCAGCTTCCTACTTTCTGTGAGAGACAACCTCCATGAAAACAAAGGGGAGAGAGAGCCTGGGTCATGTTCCTATATACTGACCTGTTTAACAAATGCTGGGAGTAGGGGGACTGACTACTCAGGAAGTGGCAAAACTGTGGGTCCCAGACAAGAAAGGAAAGACACACACACACACACACACACACACACACACATACACACACACACGAGGCTATCTGGTACCTGCCCTGCCCTCCTTCATCCCGCCAGCACCTTGATGCTAGACTGCCCAGAAATCATGAGGAGAAAATTTCATTCCCACACTCTGATCAGGTGGTTTTGTTGTTTTGGTTGTTTTTTTTTGGTCGGTCATGGGGTCTGAACTCTAGGCCTGGGTGCTGTCCCTCAGCTCTTTAGCTCAAGGCTAGCACTACCACTTGAGCCACAGCACCACTTCCAGCTTTTTCTGCTTATGAGCTACTAAGGAATCAAACCCAGGGCCTCATGCATGCGAGGCAAGCCCTCTACCACTGAGCCACCTTCCCAGCCCCCCATAGGTCTTTCAAGAAAAAGTGTTATTTGAAAATTATTTTCATCTCTAAAGATGAACTTCAGAAAGATTGACAACTTTGCTGGCTTCAGCTTGAGGTGGATATAAAACCCTCTAAAATAATGCCTAACAATTGGCATGATAAGTCAATATTTTTTCTCATCCAGACAAACTAATGAAGGAGCAGGAGAAGAGGAGAGCGCTGGCAATGACGTATGGAAAACACATGCTTTTCTCACTAGTGGAACTTCAAGAAAAATCCAGAAAAGAGAAATGCTTTCTAGTTTGGGGTCAAATTTTCGAACTGTCAACTTGGCTATATAATAGTGCCAGGGATTTTCAAGAGGGGAAAATGAAGGATTTATAAGATTTGCCAAGCTACGAATCATAAAAGGTTCTTTCAAGAAAACATGCTTTGAAAAATTACTTTGGTCTCAAACTATACATAATACACATAATTTTTGTATGTCATTATGTAGTAATACATAGAGTAGCCTACTTCTTATATGTAAAGGCATGAGGAAAAAAATCAGGTGCCTCTTTTACTTGATTAATGACTAACAAGTGTTTCTGCTCGGCTACTGTGAAATTTCTAGGTCTTAACACATAATGATATAGTGACTAGGAACTGTGGAATGTATGAAAAGAATGAGCCAGATGCCAGTGGGTCACAACTGTCATCCTAGCTACTCAGCTAGGCTGAGACCTGAGGATGGCAGTTCAAAGTCAGCGCAGGCAGCAAAAAAACGGGAAGTGGAGCTGTAGTTCAAAGTGGTAGAGCAATAGCCTTGAGCACAAAAGCTCAGGGAACAGCGCCCATGCCCCGAGTTCAAGTTCCACGACCAAGAAAAAAAGGGAAAAAGAACAGAAAGATGGGCATTGTCATTGGCAAAGACCCTGAGCAGGATTAGACATGACAAGCACAAGGCCACATACATAGGCCAGGGGCCCCCTGGAGCTGGAGGTAGAGACCGTGGTCTGAGGCCAACCTTGGGAAAATGCTAACCTTGGGATATTGTTGAAGAGATAGAGCACTTCTGTGGAAAATGTGAAGCTCTGTGACTTCAATCTCTAGTATGGCCAAATAAAGGAAAGAAATTATACACATATTAGCATTTCCTCATAGTCATTGTTAGGTGTCCAGAAAGAGTGATTCTTTTCACTGCCAGTCCTGGGTCTTGAACTCATGGTCGGGGCACAGCCCCTAAGCTTCTTTTGGGCCTTGAACTCTGAACCTGGGTGCTGTCCCTCAGCTCTACCACTTGAGCCACAGCCTCACTTCCAGTTTTCTGGTGGTTTATTGTAGATGAGTATCACGGACTTTCCTGCCAGGGTGGCTTTGAACTGTGATCCTAGATCTCAGCCTCCTGAATAGCCAGGATGACAGGTGTGATGCTTGGCCAGAGTGTTTCTTTACCATAGTTTAACCCCTCCTCCCCAGGGGATGTGGATCTGACAATGGATGGATCCAACAGGTGGGCCTTGGGTGTGGCAGATTTACTCAGGAAACCTACTGTGGAAGCATCGTCATTGCTCTGCTAAGACACAGCACTAGATGTGCAGCTACTCAAGGCCAGGAGGAGATGGGAACCCAAGATACTAGTTCCATGGCCCCTTTCTCAAATGGTTCCTCCACAGTCTCCACTTCCTGTTGTTGGTGCCCTGGTCTAAATCTCAGAGGATAAACGGGACCTAGTGACAGTGACCTAGTGATGGAATGTCATTTCCAAGATTCATGACAAAAGGCTGACTTTTGTCTTCCTGGTGAATGGTGCCTGGCCTTCTTGGATTGTTCACAACTTAACAGCCAATGAAGCAGGCTGTTAGAAGGTAAGCTGCCATTTTGGAAACACTCCTGGAGCCAGGAACTGAGGGAAGGCCTTGGCCCACTTCCAGTGAGGACGAGATGCCAGTGAACTTAGAAGTGGGTCATTGCCCAGAGGAGCCTTCCCACGAGGCCACCAACCTTGAGGGTGGCTGCATGCAAACCTCTGAAGCAGAGGCTCAGGCTAAACCATGATCAGATTCTGGGCCCATGGAAATAATAGGATAATAAATGCATGCTGTTGTAAGCTGCTTAATTTTGGAGTAACTCATTATGTAACTAAATGCCTGTATGGTTTTGACATCTTGGAAGTAAATTGCCTTGTTCTGTGGTCCAACTTCTCATCCAATAGTTAAGGACATAATCTCCCAAGCAATGATGTTACACAGAACATGTTCAGGTACACGGAAATCTTAGAACAAAATAAAGGATGGCAAGATTTTCTTTCTTTCTTTTTTTTTCTTTTCCAGTTTCCAGTACTGGGGCTTGCCAGTATTAGGGCCTTGGGCTTCCCCTTAACTCTTTCATTCAAAGCTGGTGCTCTACCACTTGAGCCATGGCTCCACTTCTAGCTTTTTGGTGGTTAAATGGAGATAAGAGTCTCTTAGACTTTCCTTCCCAGGCTGGCTTTGAACCACAATCCTCAGGTCTCAGTTGCCTGAATAGTTAGGATGACAGGTGTGAGCCACCAAAACCTGGCAAAATCTGGTATTTCCAATGTGTGTCTTCAGTTGGGAACACAAGGCCTGGGCGTTATCTTTTCATTTTTGTTTGGTCTCTAAGTCAGCCGCA